CAAATACTCACTAACCAGAGGTACCTGTTTCTAAGCCCAAATACCTTTACTGAGTACCAGACCATATACTCCACTTCCCACTTGACATTTATTTTCCTCCAGATATCTCAACTAAACATATCTGAAACAAGTAAATAACCTTCCCATAACCCCACTCCAAAAAATTTGACCCTTCTCTACTCCTCCCCGTATCAGTAAATGGTACCTCCATCCAGAGTTGCATAAGGAAGTCATTCTTACAACACCCTCCCCCCATCCAATCTACCTGGTATTCCCATTCAAGCATAGTAACATCCCCACTGCGACCATCTTAACTAACCACCTAATTTATATACTTCTCAGCCAGTCTCTATACAACAATCACTATGCTCTTGAGAAAACAAATCAGAGCATGTCACTGCCCTAATTTAAATCCTCCAGTACCTTCCCTTTGCATTTTCAAACAAAATCTAAAATCCTCAACATGACACACAAAGATCGGGATCCTGGTCACCTCTCCAACCATCACCTAGGGTCCTTCTTCTGTGTGATTCATTCACTATAGTCTACAGCACTGGACATGGTTCAGTTCCTGAAACTCTTCTTCACAGAGACTTCTCTCTTCATGCCTTCACTCTCCACATAACCCCCATCTTCACATACCTGACCTTTACCTAACCTTTCTCATCATTCAGATTTTTCCCTAAAATATCAAAAAAGGTGATCTTCCAATATAAACTGAATCAGTTATTCTCTCATAAAACCCGGTGCTTTCTTCTCATGACCATTACCAAAATTGTTATTACATTAACTTGATTTTTGTTTGCTTAACGTTTATTTTCCATGCTAGACTGAAGTCCTACAATGCCAGAGAAATACCTGCTTTATTCTCCAGTATATAAATAGCACCTAATACAGAGCCTGGCACACAAAAGGCATTTAATAGTTATGAAGTAGTAACAGTTGTCAATTATTTGCTAAATCCTCCTCTCTTTCTGCTCTTTGTTCCCTCTAGAGAACTCTAACTTGTAAGTTACAGGGTAGTCACAGATGATTTCTGCAAATGAGATACCATGCTTAAATCCAACATTTATATATTGCAAAATCAGATTTTACCACCTTCCTATAAAATTAGCAATGAGAATTGGTTAGTAACACTATCTTAAATTCACTAAAACCTCAATCTAAGCAATTAACTCTGAGAGAGCTATTTAGCTACCTTCACAGAACTCTATAGAAATTCCTGACCTCCAATTACCTGTTCTGACAGTGTCAACAAACTCTAAACCCAAGTCAGGAAGTGTTACCCACCCCAATCATTTTTAAAATACCATCCTATCCAGCCTATCCATAATCTCATGATTAGATTATCTCAACAATTAATAGACAGTGTCCCAGTCTCTACAACCCCCCCATTTAAGACCACTTTGTACTAAAGACATAAAAAAAAGTCTATGGTTCTACTTAAGAACCGTAAGAACCAACTTCTTTCCATTATCAATCAATATTAAATTACTTTCACTAGCACTAAAGGCCTATGGAGGCATATGATCAAAAAGCTTGTCCTATGTTTTAATAAAAACTTGGAAGGTTACACTGAATGATACCTGCTTGACAATTTGACACAATTTCAAGCTAAAATTTACATATGGCTCTACCTCATTTCTATAGCCCAAAGTTGAATTTGGTTAGCCTGCACTCCTAAAACTAACAATTTTTGAGAAAAATCAGGAAAATGTCTCACTATGATATCAGTCCTGTAACCTATGAGCAGGAACTAAAACTATCCAAGTCATCAGCATTTTCAGACATATATGTACTTACCTATAAAAGATTATGAGAAAAAGCACATAATGTTTCAGAAAGGAAACTACTCTAATACTTTAGTTATAACATAGAACATAAGTATACCCCTGAAAATCTGTTTAAGTATATAAACTTGTATGTGCATGTATATTATATACATACAATATAATACACATATGCATAAATATATACATAATATAGTTGATCTTCATATTTAGGGATTCCACATTTGTAAATACACCTACTTGCTAAAATAAATTTATATCCCCATAATCAATAAAATACCCCAAAATCAACACAACAGCACTTTCACAGTCATTTGAGATATACCCATGGAGGTGAAAATTTTGAGTAGGCCAGCTGGAGTCAACAAGGTTATGTATGCTCTGCCTTCACTTCAGCTCTCATACTATAAACAAGCATTCTTTCCAAGGTCTATTTAGTATCATGTTTTTCTCATTTTTATGCTTTTTATTGGTGATTTCATGTTTAAAATGGCCCTATGCATAGTTGTCTAATGTTCCTAAGTGCAAGAAGGCTGTGAGAATATGTGTATTAGTTAAGTTTCATTTAGACATGATTTACAGCACTGTTGGCAACCAGCTCAACATTAACGAATCAACAATATACATTTAAAAAGGTGTCTTTAAACAGAAACACACATAAAACAAGGTTATAAATTGATTAGTTGACAAAATGTTGTGAACAGAGGCTTGCAGTACGCTAACCTTGTATTTTCCTGAGGAGCAATGGTTCAGTATTTGCTAATTCACTGACTTTATAGAATATAACTATTGTGAATAATGAGTTAAAAAAAATAACACACACACACACACACACACACACACACACACACACACACACGAGACAGTGAGAGAGAAGAGCCAGATTTATTAAAGGCTCAAAGAAAGACACTGAAAAGGTCATTCTGAACAAACTGCCTGTTTGCAGTAGCATGGCAAAAACAGCATCTACAGGGTCTTGGCCCTTTTTACACAACACCAACCCAAAGCAAAAAATGTAAAATCTCCCAGGTTATTTTTTTGGTCTGTCTTCCTACCTCTTTTCCCACTCAATGGTGTCTCTCTCCCCAATTCAGGTAATCTAAACTCTAATGCCTTTTTACAAGCATTCGCCCAAATCATATATTTGAATAAACTGTTCATTACTGAATGATCAATTCTTGAATGCGAACTGGACTTGTGCTTAAACACCTTAAACATTTTTTAAACGCTAAAAGAGCTAAAAATTGAGTCATTACTTAGTTGGAATGGAGAGAGGAAATTAGAATAAATGATCAGGATCAAAAAAGTAAACCGAATATCGATCATTTTAGTTGTGTGTGGGCTGACGAGAAGAAATAAACAAGACAAGAAAGTGTAGGCCTGAGCCTGCCCTCCAGGGAAGGTTAAACAGAAGCTAGGGTATTGGGTGGGGAAGTTCCATCTTCCCCTAAGGATTTCTTCAACCCTTGCTTCCTCCGAGTAGTTTATTACGTATTTTTCCAAGAGCAATGACACGTATGGCAAAAGTCAGTGGAACACTCCAACAGTGACATTAGTGCTTGAAAAAAAATTTTTTTTAACTTTTTGTGTGGAGAGCGCACTCCCCTTTTAACAGTCTTCATTTTTATTTTCATTTTCTAAAATTACTAATTTTTTATTGAAAATTACTGGTTTCAGGTAATGATAGGATATGCTTAGAGCAGTGATAGACACTACAAAGCCAAAGTCTAGTTTGATGACATGTCAGTGTTTCCTCTCTATTAAATAAAAGACCAATATGGGATTTAGTGCAATAAAGGAGTATACTAGTTAGTACTCAAGCCACTTCAAGTAGTCACTACAATATTCAAACACAGAAGTACAGCATTCGAGTTAATAGCCACGTCTTCTTAAAACCTATAACTCAATCTAACCCAACACTTGAAATTCAAATATAAGGAAAAGCTAGGAAATCTTACAGCACAGTAAATCTGTCTATATAGGCCACGATTTACTCATTTTTTGAGAAGCCAAGGATCCTCCTCTCACCTCTATAGGGTTAAACTAGGTTCATTAGTAGGAGCAACAGCTTGCAAAACAATGACATACATTCCTGAATAACTCAATATTTCTTCCTGATAATATTTTATAGACAAAAACCTTCAGACTTTTGCACTAATTTTCTATTGTTCACATAATTTCGAAAAACACAAGTGAAATCTCAGTTCACTATCTTCAAACCACATCAACTGATTCTTAGAGAAACAAAGCTACTCTATTTTCTCTTAACCTTGTAATTTAAAGGGGCCACTTATCCACAATTTTTCCTTACAATTTTTTAACTATTTATTTTGTAATATTCTGCAATTAAAAAACTCAAAAATCAGTGAAGCATGCAATAAACAAGAGAAAGTATTTTCTACCAGCCAATGATACAAGAAATACAAACTAAAGTGCTGGATCTTTTTTCTTTTTAACGGAGTAAACATTTTTGTGAGCAGACCTGAAAATGTTAACATAGCCTGATAGACTTTGAAGGACGGAGGACAAAACTTTACGAGTTAACCTGCTTTCATGTCACCTTTTAAAGTACGATCAAAGAGACATACTGGAAGGGTATAAATAGCACCTTGTCTGACAGCGAAGATTCTAAATAACAAAGATAAATGGACTTCAAGTTTGCAACCTCCTAACTGAATATGGGGCAAAGTATCACCTCCAACACAAGCACACGTGCATGCACAGAAATATATTATTTTTTAACTGATGACTGAGCAGGAGTAGACCCAGAGAGGACCAGAAGGCTGCAAGGTCCTGTGCCCTGCGGCGCGGGTGAGACTCAGACGAAGAGGCCAACGCAGGACACCCTCCTGAGCCACAGCTGGCAAAGCAGAGTCTCAATCCTGCTCGCTTTGACCCTCTAATGATTCACTAGTCCAATCATGACACCACATCACTCGTTAAGACGCTTTCTATTTATTTCCTCCCGTCGACTGAAAATGACTGAAACTCGTAGGACGAGAACTGTGCACTGGCCAGAGCTGCGAGCGGCGAGAAAAGCCAGCTTACAAGCTACTCTTTAAAAAGAGCCCCAGCTGGCCCAGCAGAGGAGGCAGGAGAAGATGAGTGAGCCAGGAGGGCGAGGGCACAAGCGGGCGAGGACCGACAGAAGGCACAGCCACACCCCAGCGCGCCCTCACCTGCCGCCCGAGCCTCCCCCGAAGCCCGTACCTTCGGCCAGCGACTCCTCCAGGGTGACCTGGTAGCGGCCGACTGCGAACACCCGGACCCCCACGGACGAGCTGCCGGAGCCGCAGCCGGTCCCGGCGCCGGCCGCGCCGACTGCCGCTCCGCCGCCGCCGCCGCCGCCCTCCGACTTGGGCATTCGAGAGAACTTCTTCATGGTCCCACTGGCGCGCTGGAGGGCGCAGGGCGCGCGCAAGGGCGAGCGAGCGGGCGAGTCCCCGGGCCCGCGCGCGGCCGAGCGTCCGCAAGGGGTCGCCGCCCCTCGCCGGTCTGAGTCGTCCGTGCGCGCTGCGGCCCGATGAGCCTCACATGCCGCGCGTCCCGAGCGCACGGCCCCTGCCCCGCCGCCCGCTCCGCGGCTCCGCAGCAGCTGTCCGGCTCCCGCAGAGGGCGATGGGGAGGGCGAGGGCGGGGCGGGGCGCGAGGGGGCGGGGCCGAGTGCGGGGGCGACGCACCGCCTCCGCGAGTGCCCCCGGCGCCCTCGCCGCCTGGACTAAGTGCAGGGAGCGCGAGTCGGGAGGAGGGCGCGAGGGAGGGAGTCGGAGGGGGCGTGGCTACGGACCCTCCGGGAAGTGGGCTGGGCTCTCCCGCCGCACACCCTCAGGACCTTATCCCGCGGCTCCGCCGCCGGAGCAGCACCCGCGCCACCCCCACGGCCGTTGGCGGCGCGGCGCTCCTGCCAACCGCTCACTGAGGCTGGGCGCCCCGCGCAGGCGCACTGCCCGCGCCGCCGGAAGTGACGGTTCCGGCTCTTGTCACGTGGAGAGGGAACGGGGAGGTGATTGTGGGGGTTGGGGTACGATAACGGGTTCCCGCATCCCGGTTCTGGGGTCCAGGGCTGGAAGGTACACGTCAGATTTGTAGGGCCCAGGATTCGAGCAAGGACATGTCCCGGGAACTGGTTCCATTGCTGGCCATGCGGCAGCGTCTGTCTTCTCGCCAAGAGTTGGTATGTCACTCTGGAGGCTTAAAAGTGCCGCCAACTTTACCCCCCGCAAAGGAACTTCCTGCTGCAGTTCTAAGCCAGCGTTCCAGACCTTCTCCCCTGAGACCCTTCTGCCCGTCCACTGAGTGTGGCAGGTGGGAACAGCTCGGAACTAGAGTGGATTCCAGTAACCTAACTTCTAAAGCTACCGGGTCGCACTGTGTAACCAACGCTTGTGCTAGTAAGCGTTTTGCGGTTTATAAATTACTTTGGAGTAGTTTCAAAATCTATGTGCTCTGCAACGGCTGTGTGAGTTATTCAGAACAGGTATTAAGTCCGTTTACAGACCATCACCTTTGGCCAACAGACTCTCCCAAGGTCACACAGCTGGATAGTGGTAAAGCTGGACTGACTACAAGGTCCGTCCTTTGATATTTTGGACCGTTCCAAATAAGCGAGATAGGGAGAGAGCATCAAAAACCGCAGACTGAGAATTGTTTGGAAACTAAATCATCCATTGGGTTCCCCCCACAACTCCTTTAACAAAAAGATTTGCCCATTAAAAAAAATCAAAAGACCCGTTGCATCCATTTCATAAACTGCAGGAATCTATGACTGTAGGATGAGGCAGGCAAAATGAACATAGGTGTAAGACTTTCAAGAGTGGTAAGGAATGGCAATGTACAGAGCATGTATAAAGAAAGCACCCCATTCTCAGCTTTTCCTCCATATGATTGCAGGCCCACTATGTCCAGAGGTTCCAATTCCTTAAGCCAGAAAAGTGGATTTTTTTTTTCTAATACGGCATGTCCCAAGCTTTAAAAATGTAGACCAACTAAACTGTGCCTGCAGGATTCCAGTATGCATCTTTTATATAAGTAGATGAAGGTAGTTCTATCCCCACGCCTATTTCTTTAACCAACTTTTTAATGAGACACCAGAAATGTTAGAAAATGTGCCTAGGCAAAAGACTTTGAGTGTAAAGTCTTCCATTTTTTTCTCCCTGTCTGCTATTTGAAGAGAAGCTACTTCTGCCAACACTAAAACACTGCTCTGGATTTAGGCATTTTTGCTGCATAAGCCACCACTAAGCTAAAATTCTTAATCTGGAGACCTGACCTTTAAAGCTCAATGTACATCAGATTATGTCAGATGATTGATGCGGTGTGACAGCTGGGGATTTCCATTTATAAATAAGCTGACCATTTTCCTTACTGTGGGGATTCACTGTGGAGTCTTATGCCTACATTTGAATTATATTTTTCAAGCAGAATAATGGAGAAACTTAATCATTTCATGAAATTCAAAACTGGTTTCAGCCCAACATACAAAGTTTGGCCTAATACAACTTCACCCAATCACAACACAAGAATAAACAAAGTCCGCTATGATCAGTTTGGAAGCCAATTTACCACAATTGCTGTGGTAAAGAAAATCACTTCTATGTACCCATATAACCTGACTTATGATACAGAAGTTGATAATTAGTTTAAGGCATTGGCCCCCTGTCAAAAATTGAGTAACACCAAACAATGTGCTCTTTAATTTTTTTACCAAGCACATAACAAAATTTGAATATCCTCTCATCTTCACAGAATGTTAACTCTACAATATGCTATGACAGCCAATAACATTAATAATAAGATTGCAAAAACATTGTATTACTAATCATAGTGCCAAACATTTACACTCTTAATATCAAAAGGTGATACCAACTATCAAATTGTATCTTCCTACAACTTTGTGAGTTAAGAATCCATAAACCAGTTTGTAGGCAAAAATTGAGATACTGATGGGTGGAAAAACTATATTGACAATTCTAGTCTTTTAGTTTTGAACTTATTCTAAGACCACAGCTATGAAAGAACATCCAATTTGGCTTCCTACTGGAAAATAAAATCTCTAAAGGAGTATGGATAATGTAGATTCTGACCTACCTAAATTGTCATGGAGTTGATTTACAGTAAGAACACAGGGAACAGTTTAATAAAGGTAAAAAATTAAAATTACATTTCAGGGTTTTTTTAAATAAATGTATTTTCAAATGTTTATAGCTATACTATAAAATTAGTTGGGATAGCCACATAATGAAGACTATTTTTTTTTAACAAATTGCTTCAGTTTACAATGTTTCATGTTATAATATTATAATAAAGTCAACAGGTCATTGTAGCCAAACAAAAGATTCTGGGATCCTTAAACAGAAAAGATTTTGTCAAAGTAAGAAGGAGGGATTATTGTTACATTTTTGTCTTTTACTGGAAAACTATAACCTTTCTTGTTAACTTTGTCCCTTATTTACTTTGCACTGAAGTGGCTTTCAAAGACATGTGAAGTGACAAAGACCAACACAAATCAAACAAAACATACTTATCCCAAAAGGTTTATTTAGTGCCATAATTGCATTTATAAGTCATCTCTTCCAATGCCTGATTAATCATTTGTCCTCACAATTCAGTATTTTCCTTTGATGATGTGTCCTTTATCATTATTAGCCTCATTATGTTTCAATATTAGAAATTATTGTTCTCCCTGCCTAACAGTATTATTTTATACCTAAATACCCATATCTTTGCTTTCCAAAAATTCAGTCCTGAAGTTCATTAAAAAATATATACATGTCTCCTTTATTAAAACAAGTGTTTTTTTAATATCACCAATATTGAATTCCTCTGTTAAAACCACACATCATCATACCTTGTAAAAATTTATATACATCTAAGAAAAATCAATCTGATAGTATAGTTTAAAATACAAAGCTGCTCACACATGTTCTTAATAGTAAAAGTGATTCATTTGACATGAAATACTTTTCTATGATACTATTTTTCTTACAAACTGACCATGCTCTTAAAAAAGACTATAAAAGGTAGGCAACTTCACCACCAAGAGAAGCACTTTGACCCCCCCACCCCACTGAACTGGGGAAGGGGTCCCACCAGGTATACAGCACTTTAGCCTCACACCTCATGGCAAGGCTTAACTTTCCTGCCTGAAGAAGTGTTTGTCCCAGAATGGGATTACTGTCATGTTCCTGGATCTGTTCCTGCCCTCCCTCTTCTTCATACCTTTTCATTTCTCTCCTATGGCCAAATTACTACCCTGCTACTAGTTACATTTATGTAAAACTTTAGCAAGGCATAAAGTAAGAACTAATTCTCATTGGGCACTTGTGATGGACCAGTGCTCTTCCAAAGTGCATTACATGTATTAACTCAGTAAATCTTCATGACAGCGTTTCAGATCATTATTCCTACTTGACAGATGAGACTACTGACGCACAGAGAGATTAGGATTCATGCCCAAGTTCTTGTGACTTGTAATAGGTTTCAAAACTAGGTACTATGGCCTTATAGTTAGTGCTTTTACCACTACACCATGTAGACTTCCCTAAAAAACACACAATAAATGATGACAGCTACAGTTGGTAGTGGTAGGTTACCCTTCTATGCTCTCTGGCCACATCACTCATCTAGTGTGCTGCTAAAGCTCAGGGAAACCATGATAGGATAGATTGTCTTTAATTTCTGATTAACCAGGCATTTTTTAAAAATATTTGCTGAATTTCTACAATGAGTAAATCGCTGTGCATTGGGGAGTAACTAGGAGGGGCAAACTTGAATAAGACCATTCAAGGGTTCAAAGAGTATATACTCTTGAAGGCTGGGGGACACAGTATGTATGCAACCATGTAATAGGGGAAAGTTCAGGAATTGAGATAGAGTTGACAGTAGGCTCTGTACAAAAATGTTGAGTTCTACATTGTGCTATTTTGTCTTCAAATCTCCTGGCAATCTGGTTGATGTTAACAATCTTAGAAACTTCTGGGGACAGAAAAGCTCTTTTGGGTTTGGAGTTAAGCCGTTCCCATGGAAGAATATTGAATTCTGTCCCTATGTGTTAAAATGATGCAGACTCTACACTTCTACAACATTCACATGAACACAAGCAAAACTGTATTCAGGTCACTGAAAAGACAGAGAGAAAGAAAGTATTGAAGCTAAATTCAGCTTTTGCTTCAATCCTTTATCAAAATTCACATCTTGTTTTACTCAGACTTCTGCCAACAGTGGCAGAGACTATTTATTGAACATGTACAAACATGTGCTGAACAGTGCATGAACCAATACACAATAAGGAACCCACACTGTATAGGAGTAATCATGGAATTTCAGAGCTAGAAGGTCATATAATCTAGCCCATATAATGTGCCCTAGAAAGGGCACAACTGAAAGAGGAACAGGAACATTTACTGAGCAACTAGTATGTCTCAGGCATTTGCTTAACACTGTATATGTTTTCTATTTATCCTCTCACAAGGGAAGTGCATCTTATCACTCCCAACTTGTAGCTGTCTGACTCTAGCCACCCTGAACCACTTTCATTTCTTATCAAGCTGTTTCAGGATCCTG